CAATCTGCAAACAGGGAGGTTGGGAGGGGAGAGGCTGAATGAGAAGGAGGGAAGGGCTGCCCCTCCCCCTGTGGGTCAGGAGAGTGGGGGAGGGGCTGAGCCAGGGGGGTCCCTCCCCCCCCGCCCAGGTTTGCCTCGCAAGGTCCTCTGTGAAGCCCAGAGATGGACCCAGCCTGGGGGGGGGGTGGGAAGAGACATGGGGCTGCCTGAGAGAGAAGGGGCGCTTCCTTTCCTCTCCCCCCTCCTCCCCACAGGCTCTCCTGCGCCCAGAGACCCCCTTGGCCCGGCTGCCCCCTCGCCAGGCAGGGAGAGGGTGGGGTCCCCTTCCGCCATGAGAGGAGTGCAATGGGGTTGTGAGGGGGAGAGAGAGAGACCCCTTTCTGCTCCCCTCACAGGAGGGTCCCCGTCGCGTCTCTGAGGGGCAAGAGAGGAGGAGCCCCTCCCCCCCCCCGCTGCTTCTTCCCCTCAACGACTTTTCCCGCCTTTTCCCAACTTCCCGCCCTTCGAAATCTGAGCCTCGCCTCAGTTTCAGGCGCCAAGGAGGCAGATTCCCCGGGCTCCCTGCTTTATTAGTGGATTTCTTCTCATTCGCCCTCATTTCTGCTCATATATCTTGCTTTTGGAGCTTCTCTAGAAAGAAGGCTGTATAAAAAGCCCCTCACCACTGCCTGCATCCCATACAGTATGTAAAAGTCTGATTTCTTCCCATTTGCTGTGTATAATTCTTCCACCAGGACTGTTCTTCCTTCCTGGCAATGTCACTTCCAAACTAATAATTCTTCCCTCACTGTCCTTAAATAGCTGCTTGGGGTCTAGTTTGGGGCCTGCATAAAGAACCTCCTCTCTTTTTGTAGCCTTTCTAGGCCCTTTTAACCATGGATAGGAAAATGTTGCACCCGAGCAGGGACGAAAGGAGCCAAACGACACCAAGGGGTTAAATCCAAAGAAAGAGCTTTTTATTCTGCCATGGGGGGGGGGGAGAGGAGCAAGTGTGATAAAGTCACAAAACAAGCACGAAGTTCACAGCCATTGCACAATGTCGCCCTTGAGCCAGTGCCTCCAACTGGACTCATCCACTTCAGCCCGACTGGGCTAGGCGAGCTGGGTAGCAGTTCCAGAGACCACCTTCTGCACAGGAACAGGTCAAAGTGCTGTGGACTCACAGCTTAGAGTTGTGAGCACCGGATTCACTCCCACCAGAAGACAGTCGTCGCACAGCAGAGTATAGCAGAGCATAAACGACTCGGAGAGCAGCTCTGTAGAATATCTTCTTCATTCTATCTACAACTATTATACAACTATATACAGAGCTAAATGAGGTCTAAGCATAAAGAATGCTAAACCGCACTGAGTGTCTGCAGCTGCTCTTAGCAGCAACCTGATCTATACACACGATCTCTAACACTCAGTCTCTCTCTCTCCGACACAATGACTGACTGACTCTTTGATGTGGTGCTGGAGCAGAATAAGTAGAGAGCAGAACACCACCCCTCCTCTCTGGAAAATCACCAGACTCATCAGGAGATTCTTGGATATGGGAGGGGTGAAATCTCCTCATATATCCCCTTCCAGTTCCCTCCCCTTTCTCCTCCCATGTGTCTCCTGAGCATGAACAGAAAGTGTTAGGAGATTTCCGTTCCACCTTAAAAGGGAGCAGGCTGTGAGTCACAGAGTCTGCGTATTTCCTGTTCACAGGATGTTTATGTTTTCTGTTGCTTTCGTTTTCTCTCTGTTGTCGCAGACACTAAAGCAGTCAGTCATGTTTTTCTGTGTTCTGATCAACGCTGAATAAACTTGTAAATAATGCTCTCCTGACTGCAACTTTTGGCTGTGCATTATCTGCTGATAGAGCGTGCATGAGTCTGGAATGTGTACAAGATATTTTCTAGAAACTCATGTCGCTGAGTGCCTACGGGAGGTAGATGGATCGTCCGGCAGACGGCTTGGGGGCCATGATGGACTTTATCTCCCTGGCAGTATCCCAACAACAGGTTTCGGGCCCAGATTCACAGCACTTACAGGAGAGTAAGACTGCGACAGACTGCTGAAAGGTATGTGGAAGAAAAGCGAAAGTGAGGCTTTTCTGTTTGCCGAGGCAAGGGCCTTTGAACTCCGGCAGATTAATGGATCTGGGAGACGCGCCAAAGGCTTTGTGATTAATGGGAGCAGAGATAAGACGTCTCTGAAGTGAATAAGACTCACGGCTCAAATAGAAACCTGGAATGGAGTTTTTCCACGCTTCTGAGGCTGCTGAGTGCCCAAAGCTAAATCGGCACAATTATGGGACCTGGGCTGTGTGGTGTGAGAGCTTGCTGCGTCAGTTTGGAGTGTGGCATACTGTGTGTGAGGCCCCTCCAGTTCCTCTGACAGATAGATGGAGGGCCGCTAATTCGAAGGCGGTAGATATAATCGTCTTGTCCGTCTCTCTGGAGGAAATAAAAACGCTAGCTGGCAATCTGACTGCACGAAAGATGTGGCATGCTTTGAAGATAGCCCATTTGCCAGTCATCCCAGCCCAGAGTTTGACTGCATCGGAGGTCCTGGCTGTTTCCCAGAATGCGAGTGAATGCAGGGATGCTGAGGGCACCGGTTGCAAGCTGCAGGGGAGCTGACTGTCACGTCATCCCAGGCAGCATTCCAGCCTCCAGGGGGAGCCAAGGAGTCGGCAGCTGAGAGCTCTGTTTCTCATGGGAGCCAAGGTCATCGCCTTTGCAGAGGCCGGAAGGGCAAAGGTAAACAGAGGCAGACGCCTGCAGATGGCCGGAAGCAGAGGGAGGGTGAAGAGCCCACGCCAGAGGAAAACAAGGTTTTGTTTGCTGGCACAGCCTCACCAAAGGCTAAAGGCAAGTCTGATGGCCAGGAGCAGGGGGGGCAAGCTGCAAAAAGCCCACGCCGGTGGAAAACAAGGTTTTGCTTGCTGCAAAGGCTGCTCCAAAAGCCAAGGCCAGGTTTGTTGTTGATTCAGGCTGTACCCGCCATGTGTCGAAAGACCGCCATCTCTTTATCTCCTTCAAGCCTCAAGAAGGTGAGATCCACCTGGCTGACGGAAAAACGTTGCGAATCGCAGGAGAAGGGACTGTGAAACTGGCAAGTCTGCACACGACCATCAAAGATGTACTGTATGTTCCAGGTGCTGCAGACAATTTGCTCAGTGTCCCACAGCTGACTGGGCGTGGTTTTGAGATTTCCTTCAAGAGGAGCGTCTGTGTCATCAGAAAAGGCAAAGAGGACATTTTGCATGCAAAGTTTATGGATGGCTTGTTCTGTATAACTTATGATGACATTGGTGCTGTTGTGTCTAATGCTGATTCTTGTTGTGTTGCACAAACTAACAAAGTTCTTCATGCAGGATGCATTCATGATGCACACAGAAGATTTTGTCACATGTCTTGGCAGGCGCTGGCCAAGATGCCAGAGATGGTTGAGGGTTTGAACATCAAACCCTGTAAGTTTCACATGAAATGTGTATCTTGTGCAGAGAACAAGGTGAAGGTTGCTCCAAAAGGCAAGGAGTCTAGCAGGCAGGCTTCCAAACCCTACCAGCTAGTGCACGCAGACCTGGTTGGTCCACTTGCGCCCTCTTTGGGTGGAGCAAGGTACTTCATGGTTCTAATTGATTCCTTTTCCAGGTACATTCATGTGTTTATGCTCGAGCAGAAATCGCAAGCGTTTCCGAAGTTCAAGGCATTCTGTGCTTGGTTGGAGAATGTTCATGGTAAACGCATTGGCTGTCTCTTTACTGATCGAGGCGGGGAGTTCACTTCTCAGCAGTTTGAAGCTTTCCTGACTGAGAAGGGAATCCAGCATAGCCTCTCAAGTCCTGGATCTCCATGGGAGATTTGTGAGCAAGCAAAGCAAACGTTGCTGCAAGGACTGAAAACATTGTTGCATGATGCCAATCTCCTGAGAAGTTTTGGGGGAGTCTTTGAACTCGTTTGTTTACACTTTTAATCGCAGGTTGTCATCACCTATTGGTTGTACCTCCTATGAGAAGATGTTTGGTAAGAAACCCAACATCAAGCACATGAGAATCTTTGGTTCTGACATGTGGGTACACACCCCACAGAGCAACAAGCTTGGGAAGCGTGGGGCACATGGTTTGTTCATGGGGTACGAAAAAGGTGCATACAGGGTATGGATGACCAACTCTAAGTCCATTAAGTTCACAAGGAGTGTTGAGTACAATCCTAAGTGGGGGGAAAATGTGGGAATTTTCCAGAGTTACCCAGAGGAGGATGAAGGTGATGTCAAAGAAGCAGCTAAAGCTGAGGAAGCTGCTGAGGATGATGATGACGATGATGATCAGAGTTCGGATTCCAGTTCAGTGGGCGGCGCTGCTGCTGATGTCAGTGACAGTGATGACACAGCAGACTACAAGAGCGCAAAGGCCTCAGTCAGACCATCTGATGCGTCTGACAATGAACTGGAAGAACCACTGTTCACCATTGGTCACTTTTCTCCTAAGAAGGAGGAGATGAGTCCAGAAGACTTGCGTCTAGTACGCAGATCTGAAAGAGCCACAAAGGGCAGACCTCCAAAGAGATTTGCTGATGAGTTTGCTAAGACAGCAACTGCTGTTCTTAGTAGCTCAGAGAAGGTATGGGAACCTTCAAGCTTCAAAGAGGTTCAGGAGTTAACCTCTAAAGATGCTGAGCCTTGGCTTAATGCCATGAAGGCTGAAGTTGATTCCTTGAATAGGAACCAAACTTGGGAACTGGTACCGGTAGTCCCAGGGATGAGACTGGTTGGCAGCAAATGGGTCTTCAAGGCCAAGACAGACCAGAATGGCAAGGTTGTCAGACACAAAGCCAGATTGGTTGCCAGAGGTTTTTCACAGGTACCAGGACAGGATTACCACGAGACCTACTCACCCACCGTCAAATATGAGAGCATTCGGCTGATGCTCAAGATAGCTGCAGAGGAGAAACTGCATGTTTCCCATCATGACATTAATACAGCTTTTTGTACGGGATTTTAGAGCAGGAGCTGTTTATGCTTCCACCTGATGGGATGCAGATACAGAAGGGAATGGTCTGTAAACTGCGGAAATCCTTATATGGTCTCAAGCAGAGTGCCAGGTGTTGGAACACAAAGCTCACTGAGACATTGCTTTCTCTAGGTTTTCACCAGGGCAAGGCTGATCCATGTGTGTTTGTCAAGGAGGAGGGGCAAAACAAACTGTATTGTTTATGTTTTGTTGATGATCTTCTGATGTTTTGGAAGAATCAGGCTTTCTACCAAAGCACCCTAGCTCAGCTGAAGGAGCACTTTGACATGAAGGATCTTGGTGAGGTATCCAACTATCTTTCTCTGCAGGTGGAGAGGGACCAAGCAGGTAATTTTCTGGTACACCAAACACAGAAAATTGCTGATGTATTAACCAGGTTGAATTTGGTTGATGCAAACCCAGCAGACACACCGATGGTGACAGGTTACCAGGTAGACAGTACTGCTGAAGCGTTTTCTGACACAACGCTGTACAGATGCATTCTAGGCAAGTTGAATTTCATTGCTAGATGCTCAAGACCTGACATAGCTGTAAGCACTAACCTGCTTAGCAGACATGCTAACAATCCTACTGTTCAGGATTGGAAAGCTCTGAAGCGCATAGCCCGCTATTTGAAAGGGACTTTGCACTACAGGCTGAGGTTCACCAGTCAGAAGACTGGAGGTCTTGAAATCTTTGCAGATGCAAGTTTTGGAAGTGACACCACGGATGGTACAAGCACTTCTGGAGTATGCTACATGTACAACCACTGTCTGTTTGACTGGCTGTGCAAAAAGCAGACGACAGTGAGCCTAAGTTCCTGTGAAGCAGAACTCAATGCTCTGTCATTTTCACTCATGGATTGTGAATGGTTGATGCAACTGTTTAAGGACATCAGAGTTTCTGTGAAATGTCCTGTACAAGTGTATCAAGACAATAGATCGTGTTTGGCTTTGCTGAACTCGGAGAGTTGCAAGCAAAGGACCAAGTACTTGCAGATTAAGCTACATCGTGCAAGAGAGTGTATTCAGAAAGGACTCATTCAGGTGTCCTACATGCCAGGAAATGAAATTCCGGCTGATCTGTTGTCTAAGGTTGTTAACAGAGAACAACTTAAGGTTTGCGTACAAAGGTTGCAATTGGGTTGAACCACAGGTACTACAGGTTACACGGAAAGGGGGAGGATGTTAGGATATTTCCGTTCCACCTTAAAAGGGAGCAGGCTGTGAGTCACAGAGTCTGCGTATTTCCTGTTCACAGGATGTTTATGTTTTCTGTTGCTTTCGTTTTCTCTCTGTTGTCGCAGACACTAAAGCAGTCAGTCATGTTTTTCTGTGTTCTGATCAACGCTGAATAAACTTGTAAATAATGCTCTCCTGACTGCAACTTTTGGCTGTGCATTATCTGCTGATAGAGCGTGCATGAGTCTGGAATGTGTACAAGATATTTTCTAGAAACTCATGTCGCTGAGTGCCTACGGGAGGTAGATGGATCGTCCGGCAGACGGCTTGGGGGCCATGATGGACTTTATCTCCCTGGCAGTATCCCAACAGAAAGTTCCTGCCTTGGGACCATTTTTGAACTCTTCCCAGGAAAGGGGGTGAGAAACCAGGGGGTTTCAGAGTGTTCCAGTTATGTTTCATTCTTGAGCTTTGGAATGGCTCCCGGACAGAAAGTAAGTTGCAATCTGATTTTAGCAAGGCCAAAGGCTCTGAGAAAACAATGGACTCTGTTCCCTACCTTTGTTGCAGTCTTTTAGTTACAGCAAGAGGAATATGCTTAGCTAATGCTTTTTGTCTTAGAGGAAATGCAGTTTTAAAAATGCTTGAGGCAAGGCTTTGAGGCCTGGCTTGGGGGGGGGGAATTCACAAATAGTTTTTAGGGTTTTTGGGGTAATCCTAACTGACTGTCTTTCTTCATTTTTTGTTTCAGCTGTAGGTATAAATTCATGGCCAAAAGCCTTATTGATACACAATTTTCCATCCGATGCCTGCTTACTCGGAAGTAAGTCCTACTCTGCTCCCATGTGCGGAGCTAGCAGTTCAGGCAGTTCTGCTGGCAGGAGGCCAAAGGACCCAGAGTGGTTTGCAACCAGGGTGGGTTCCAAATGCTGCCCTTTTTGATACGTTTCCATTTATTCTTTTGCGTGGGGACTGGCCAGATTGAAAACCCCCCACCCCATTCAACAGAAAGACTAGCAAAAGATTTCAAAGGCGGAATTTCCAAAAGATGGCACTTTGTCCTGAATTTAAGACAAGTCAATCGAAAAATCATGGGCTTTTTTGGCATTTATTTGGGGCCTTGTCTAAAAAAAAAAAGCACTACAATTTTGGGCTTGTCCTGGTTTTTACTTTTTGAAATATGGCAACACTAATTATTCTGGGCTCTGCTTGAACTGAAACTCCCTTTTAGAGCTCAGCCAGTAGACACTGAATTTCAGGGTCATGGGTTTAAGCCCCACTTTGGGCAAAATATTCCTGCATTGCAGGGGGCTGGACTAGATGACCCTCGTGGTCCCTTCCAACTCTGCAATTCTAGGATTCTACCATGTCTAGAGGAGAGATCGCCCTCTTGTGGGCAGTGGAGGAATGATGTAATGTTGGTTGGTGGGAACTGTTCTTGAGTGTTGCCTTATCACACACATGCAACAGCACAACAGTCCTGTGAAAGGAAGGGGGGAGCATTTCTGCAGGCTGATGTCCATCCATCCAGCTGCCCAGGCCCCAGCACCTCCCCCTAACAGAGAAGGGTCCCAGTCTGGAAATCCCCCCTTCCTGCTGGAGATGAGGCAGTGAGGGACTCCAGACAGACAGAGGCGTCCTTGCTCTGGAATTCCCTTGCCAGCAGGGAGACTTCAAAAGCCCCCCCCATGCCTCCCCCTTCCCTCATTTAGTATGGAGACTTTTCATCTTGTGGTTTGGTCATTTCAAATCCAGTTTTTCTCTCTCTCCCTGCAATTTTAATACTGTTGTTGGTTTCCTTTTTTAAATTATTCTGTTCACGACTGATATTTCACATGGCGTTTGTGAATGCAAAGCAACTGTGGCTCTTATGATCCCTGCAGGGTATTAAGTGTTGTTCTAACCTCCCTATTGCAGGTGGAAAGAGGAATGTGGGGCTTGCTTATATCATCTTAGGGTGGCAAGATTAAGATTTGGGACTGGGACTTTGAGTATCAAGACTTAAACTATTACTAATGCTTGATTTTGCATGACATGAAAGACCGTAACAATCGCGTTCCGTAGATGTGGTCAACAATGCGTTAAGAACAGGTCAGGGTACTGAACTCAATGTGAACTGATCAGAACATTCCCAGACCCATGCGCAGAGGCAAAAACATCCCAGCATCCATCCCAGCATCTCCCCCTTTCTTTTCTTATCGGCGAGGTGTTACTTTGGTTGAATAAGAGAAAAATACTTCGGGATACGTGGTATGCCAGCGCATGCCCGAAATACGTTCGCCAGGGTGGACGGGAGAAAATTACTTCGGGATACGTGGTATGCCAGCGCATGCCCGAAATAAGTCTGCCCACATCTCCCCTATCATTTACAGTTGATGTTGCCATTTCGCATAGTAGGCGGCAATGATTTTATTAGGTGGCAGAGGAGGAGAAAAAAAACTGAGACCAAAGACGCATGAGACCAGGAATGCATTGGATGAAGCAGCATAGCAAAATTAGTATACATATTATGACAATAGCATATTGGAAAAGATTACGAAGCCAATTCAGGTTAGGCAACCAGCCAGTGAGCCACTGGGTGAACGAATCCCAGAGGCCAGAGAATCCAACGTCCAGTTTAATGTGATGTGTGAGATTTTGCAAATGAGAGATTTGCTTTTGAATGGCTTTAGAATTATCAGTAATATTGAAGCAACACATGTCATTCACTTGTTCACAGCCATAATGATGAAGCATGAGCAAATAGTGATAGCAGCACGATTTTGTAAAAGTCCATTATGAAGTTCACTCTGTTCTTTATTCAGAAGGTGAAGAGCTTGTGAAGTAAAATTCAGGGCTTTTGCTGCAGAACAAGCTAAGGAATTAATGTTCATACTATTCCGTACAGCCAATCCAGGGACTCCTAAGAGAGAAACAGCTAAAGAGATATATTCAGACCTACTGGGAAGAGAGACAGAATCATCACAATCATTAGTCAATTCCACAGAGCGGCGCTATCTAGAGCGGGTCAAATGATGCTTTTTGGGTAAAATGATGGACAAACGGCTTAAGCAGCAGGGTGTGCCATGGCTGATGTATTGTTGGCACATGGTAGGGGAATTCAGCATTCCTTGCGGTAGGACTTTCCATTGATACCGTTCCGTGGGCTGGCTCTTATTTAACACAGGAACAGGGAAAGCAAAGAATTTACGATCCTTCTCCTGTAGGGGGATGGAGAAGAAACCATCTTGCAAATCTATGATAGCCAATTGATAAGAATGGGGGATCACATTCGGATTAGGCAGACCACACTGCAAAGGCCCCGTGGGTTCAAGGATGTCATTAATTTTCCTTAAATCCTGGAGAAATCTCCATTTCCCACTTTTCTTTTTTATGACGAAGATGGGAGTGTTATAGGGGCTAACTGAGGACTCGATATGGTCCGCCGATAATTGTTGATTCATCAATTCTTTTAAAGCAAGTAGCTTTTCCCCCGTTATGGGCCATTGTTCTACCCATACCGGGATGGTTGACTTCCAGTTGAGGGGGAGTGCAAGCTTACTCATTAAATTGAATGGTAGCTTGTAATTGTTGTAGTAAATCTCTGCCCCACAGATTAAGGTGGATTTTTAGCACGCAAGGCTGGATGTATGCAATGGTTTCAGAGCTATCAGGCAGAGAAACAGGCAACCACTTTACGCTTTTGGTTGAGGTTTGAGGTCCACCCACGCCCCAAACCGCAGAGGCAGACTCAAGGCCAGGGGCCCAGCAACTACTGGATATGACAGAAATGTCTGCGCCCGTGTCAATCAAGCCTTCCAGAACCTAGCCATTGATTTTATACTTACGAAGAAGTTTCTGTTGACCAATCCTCTGGATTACAGCTAACAGCTGTGGAGAAAGGGGAAGGGGAGAGAGCTGGTGCAAATTACTATCCACAATAGAAGCAGTAGGATGAGAAGGGAGCACCACCAAATGCGCCCAAGAATCACCCTTTTAACTGCATGGGCATATGGCTCCAGAGTTGAACCATGATTGTGCCCACATAGTCAGGATCTAGGACTCCCGGAATAACCAGGATTCCTTCTTTGGCCGCAGACAATTTGGGCAAAATTAAGCCTGCGACCTTAGGTGGTAGTGGGCCCGCCAACTGAGTGGGCATGAGCACAATTTCACCAGGTAAAACAGCGTCTTTGGTTTCCTGATTAATTAAGTCAATAGTGAAATCAGAGGGTGTATCATTAGAAAAGGTCTTAATAGTGGAGACTAACGGCGGAGGGCTCTCTATTTGTCCTGGCCCGAGAGCTAGGCCCCCATGGAGTTTCCCGAACTCCTGCACTGATTTGCCCAATGATAACTTTTACCGCATTTCGGGCATTTCTTGGAAGGCTTAGCCTTATTGGCTTCACCATTCCTGTTTGCTCCCCCGCCAGGGGCTCTGCATTGTTTAGCAAAATGACCTGGGCGTTTGCAATTGAAGCAGTTGCCCGTGGGCTTATTGCCAGCCTGGATGGCACCGGCAAGCAAAGACATCGCATGACTCTGGCTGCCAACATCGGCACAGGTCTGAATCATATCGGCCAGGCCATATTTAGGGCGATGTATAATTGAATGCAAAGCCTTCTTGCAATCAGTGTTTGCATTTTCAAAAGCCAATTTTTTCATCAATTCATTTTGAGCTGTAGTGTCATCAATCTGCCTAGTGATTGATTCTTTCAATCTATCTATAAATTGATGGTAAGGCTCCGAATGTTGTTGCTTAATATTAACAAAGGAGCTCAGCGGTTGCCCTGAGACAGGGACTTTGCGAAAGGCGCGTTGTACACAGAGTCGCGGTGCGACTAAAATGTAAAGGTGTCAATTGCGCCTGGGCTGGTATATTATCATACGGACCAGCACCAAAGAGTTGGTTGGCTGAATGCTGTGGATCAGCCAGGGCTACTGCGCTATGCTTAAATTCACTTTCAAAAACCACATACTGAGCCGGGGATAAAAGCATGCGCATCAGATCTTTCCAATCTTGAGGTAGCATTGTATAACCAGTTGCGATCCCCTCCAGCATCCCTAGCACATAAGAGGATTTTAGGCCAGAATCAGTAATAGCTTTCCTTAATTCTCTCAGAATAGAATAAGGAAGCATCTCATACATAATTTGTGTTGCGCAGTGCCAGGGTTTGTATAGGAGATAGGGAAGGCAGGCAGCATTTCCCCAGCCCACCCAGCCTCTTCCTCCAAGGAGAGGATTCCTTTCTGTCTAGCTTGAAAAAGCGCAGCACGCACAGCTCCTGTGGGAGAGCACGCAGGGGCTGAGGCACGCGAAGGAGAGAGGAAAGGCGGGTGGGGGGTGGATGTGGGCTGAGGCGTAGGGGGTAGGGAAGGTTGCGATGGGGGCAGAAGCTGTGGGTAAGGTGGGGGATTGTCTGCAGCGGCTAGAAGGGCAGGGGCCGACGGAGATGCCTGAGATGTCTGAGGTCCTAATTTAGCGACGGCATCTGCACATTTCTGCCAAGTGAGCAGACAATGAATTGGAGCCCTCGGTTCTGCGAAGAGGGTTTTTCCGATCTTTTGCCAAGCCTCTATCCCCAAAGACCCTACCTCCGGGTACCAGGGGCATTGGCAAGCAATCTCACATAACAATCGTTCAAATTCCTTCAAAGAAATATGCACACCCGCCACCCTCTGTCTGACTAAATGAAGCAGCTCCTTAGCATGCTCTTTTTGGAACCTTGTAAGCTCCCCCCCCATACTCACGAAGTAGCGCGCTGAGACTTTTCCAGTCGAGTGAAGTATCGAGGCTGTGTAAGGGGATCTGGCACGTCCGGGGTCACCAGATGTTGGGTTGAAATAAGTGACAGACGAATGGCAAGGTGTCATACGGGAGGCATCTCTCGAGCAAGTCTCGGAGAGTCCCTTTTATTGAATATTACAGCATTACATATGTGCTTGTTGCTGATTGGTTAACATGAATACAATGCAAGGGTTGAATATAGGTATTAATCATCAATAGATTATAGGGTGGGAAAGGGAACACAGAATTGGACAGGCGTGAAACCTCCTTATTAAACTATTAACTAGTGATTGAGTATCAAGACTTAAACTATTACTAATGATTGATTTTGCATGACATGAAAGAACATAACAATCGCGTTCCGTAGATGTGGTCAACAATGCGTTAAGAACAGGTCAGGGTACTGAACTCAATGTGAACTGATCAGAACATTCCCAGACCCATGCGTAGAGGCAAAAACATCCCAGCATCCATCCCAGCACCACACTCCTTCCATTCAAACCATTTTAGATTTTTCAGTTTGTGGATTGTAGGGTTTCAACTCTTAAAGCTTTTCCTCCTTGCGAGTCCATTTATGGTTTCTAAGAACATCAGGACTGAAGCTCTATGTACGCTCCATATACGTAAGTGGTTTTCCCTTTTTGAGTTCGCTGATGTTTGCTAAGGTTTCCACTTCTATTGACGCTCTTTCCACACTCCATACATTTATTTGCTTGTCCCCGAGTGAGTCTGTTGATGTCGTCTAAGTTTCCTGTGTGTGAAATTAGGGTTCCACTCTGAAAGAAACTCTTTCAACTCTCCATACATTTAAATGGTTTCTCCCGTGTGAGTCCGTTGATGTCTTCTAACATTTCCAACACTGGTGAAGCCCTTTCCACACTCCTTACATTTAAATGGTTTCTCCCCTGTGTGAATTTGATGATGGATACTAAGTGCTGTACCATCAGTAAAGCTCTTTCCACATTCCATGCATTTAAATGGTTTCTCCCCTGTGTGAGTCCATTGATGTTTTCTAAGTGTTCCACTGCGATTGAAGCTCTTTCCGCACTCTGTGCATTTAAATGGTTTCTCCCCAGTGTGAGTTCGATGATGGGTTCTCAGCTCTTTACTCTCAATAAAACTCTTTCCACATTCCATGCATTTAAATGGTTTTTCCCCTGAGTGAGTCCATCGATGTCTTCTTACTGCTCCATTAGAAGTGAAGCTCTTTCCACATTCCATACATTCAAATGGTTTCTCCCCTGTGTGAGTCCGTTGATGTTTTGTAAATGTTCCACTATCGGTGAAGCTCTTTCCACACGCCATACATTTATAAGGTTTTTTCCCTGTGTGGGTTCGTTGATGGTTTCTAAGTTGTCCAATCTGACTGAATCTCTTTCCACAATCCATACATTTATATGGTTTTTCCCCTGTGTGAGTTCGATGATGGATTCTAAGTTTTGTACTCTCAGTGAAGCTCTTATCACACAGCATACATTCAAATGGTTTTTCCCCAGTGTGAGTTTTATGATGAATATTCAGTCTTCTATTCGTACTAAAACTCTTTCCACACTCCAAACATTTAAATGGTTTTTCTCCTGTGTGAATCCGTTGATGGATTCTAAGGTCTCCACTCCGACTGAAGCTCTTTACACATTCCATGCATTTGAATGGTTTCTCCCCTGTGTGAATCCGTTGATGGATTCTAAGGTCTCCACTCCGACTGAAGCTCTTTACACATTCCATGCATTTGAATGGTTTCTCCCCTGTGTGAGTCAGTTGATGGATTCTAAGTGTTCCACTGCGATTGAAGCTTTTTCCACATACCATACATTCAAATGGTTTCTCCCCTGTGTGAGTTTGATGATGGATATTAAGTGCTGTACCATCAATAAAGCTCTTTCCACATTCCATGCATTTAAATGGTTTCTCCCCTGTGTGAGTCCATTGATGTTTTCTCAGTGTTTCACTGTGACTGAATCTCTTTCCACAATCCATACATTTATATGGTTTTTCCCCTGTGTGAGTTCGATGATGGATTCTAAGTTTTCTACTCTCAGTGAAGCTCTTATCACACAGCATACATTCAAATGGTTTTTCCCCAGTGTGAGTTTTATGATGAATATTCAGTCTTCTATTCGTACTGAAACTCTTTCCACACTCCAAACATTTAAATGGTTTCTCCCCTGTGTGAATCCATTGATGGATTCTAAGGCTTCCCCTCTGACTGAAGCTCTTTACACATTCCATGCATTTGAATGGTTTCTCGCCCGTGTGTGTCTGTTGATGTTTTCTAAATGTTCCACTATCGGTGAAGCTCTTTCCACACTCCATACATTTATATGGTTTTTCCCCTGTGTGGGTTCGTTGATGGTTTCTAAGGTGTCCAATCTGACTGAAGCTCTTTCCACACTCCTTACATTTATATGGTTTCTCCCCCGTGTGCGTGTGTTTATGTATACGAAGGTTTGAACTCCAACCAAAGCTTTTTCCACACTCCATGCATTTAAATGGTTTCTCTCCTGTGTGAGTCCGTTGATGTTTTCCAAGTGTTCCACTGTCAGTGAAACTCTTCCCACACTCCATACTTTCAAATTGTTTCTCCTCTCTCTTTTCACATTCCATGAATTTATATGGTTTCTTTGTTATTCCCATTGGACATGGCCCTCCAGAATTTTGACTGCCTTCTCCATTGTCTTCTTTCAACAGGGAGGAGTGGGTGGGGGGGAAGGAAACCTAGGAAGAGAACAAAGGAATATTACACACATCAATTAGCACCTGCTCTTATTTTGACGTCTCGTACGTTCTTTCCTGTCCTCCATATGTTCCAAAGTTTTAGGAAAGACAGATGAAATAATGTTAAATAATGGTAATGCATCATCAGCCTTTCCTAACCCTTAATTAAGCATTAATGAAGCAGCATTATCTTAGAATATTGTAGAACTGTGGGGTTTACGTTTTATAAAAAGTGGTTTCTCACAGGAACGGGAGCTGCTCTATGTTCCATGAACCTGGCCAATATTAATCAGGATCCTAAATTCATCATGATGTTCTTCATCCGCTGCACCCCTTGGGCCACATTTTGTCGCCTTCGACCTCTAGATCTTTATTAATCACCTGCACATTCCCTTTGGCCTCAGGAGGTCCATACTGACCATTTTGGGAGACCCATATATAAGTCTAGTGACAAGGCTTCTTGCTTGTGGTCGGTTGAAGGAGTGCTCAGTTGGAGAATGTTCTTGGGGTTGGACCTCCATCTCTCAGCCTTGCATTCTTGAATGGAGAGAGCTGGAGATGCAGAAGGAAAGCAGCTGGAGCCTGACCGCTGGGAAGGCCAGACTGAGACACCCACCCCAATTATGATTTATAATAATTATATGCCACCGGGTCTTGCACCTGCCTCCTGACACTGGCTTATCTTAGCGGAGATTCCCTGTCCAGGCCTCTCTCACTGTTATTCCTCCTTTGCCGTGGGTGGCCAAGGGCTTCTGGATATTCTAGCTCTGCTCCAACTGGGAATTATTTATTAAATTGTTATACCTCTCTTCATCTGAATATCACAAGATAAAAATATGTGTTACACTGAAAAAGGTGAGTATTAAAGGTGACTAACACTGAGTGTGGGAAAGAATAGAAAGATGATGAAACCAGTGGTGTGTCCTCCTGAATGTAATAATAATAATAATAATAATAATAATAATAATAATAATATAATAATAATAATAATGAAGTGTAAAGAATAAACCAATCTTCAAATCAGTTTCATATTCCCTGGCTGTATTTCTCAGCCACGATTGTGACTCAGAATCTTAGCCACACTTTTTTCTAGAATCTCAACTGGACATAGGAGCCAGACATCCCTGGGATTTCATCCAGACATTCCTTTAGTGTGGGCAGCAGCAGCGGAGAAAGGAAGGAAGCAACTTTGGGGACAAACCATTTCCTTCAGAAGGTCTTCCCCAGCGGCCAGCAGGGTTGATAAACTGCTCAGTGGGGACACCTTGGCTTTATACTGTTAGGCAGCCCGGCTGGGGACTTCATATGTGTTAACTTGTACAATCCATCTACCTACTCCTCTTCCCATACAAATCGGTTTTGGGAGGATCTAAGATTTATCCTTGATAAATCTGTGGCTGAATTCCCAAAGTCAGAGATCCTCATAATGGGGGACTTTAATGCCAGAATCGGAGCAGATATAAGCTCATTCACCGATAAGTCGCAACTATTCATAGAAGAGGAGTGGTTTCCTACGTGGAATTCTCATGACAAGACCATTAATAGGGCTGGCATCATACTGCTGGAGTTTACCATTAACTGCGGGCTGCACAGCTTGCATGGTACACCCAAAGACTGGTCCGGGGATGCTATACTTTTCTAGGATCTAGAGGGGCAAGCGTTATAGATTATATCTGGTCCTCCTCGGCACTTAATGATAAGGCATATTGTTTCAATGTGTTCAACAGAACCGAAAGTGACCACCTCCCTATTGCCATCTCCTTCCACCACACACAGCTCGGGCTTCCCAGCTCACTCCACCTCCAGGATTCACTGACCTTAGCCCCCGGTCGTAAGAAGTGGGATATCTATCTGGAGCAAGACATAAAAGTCCTCCTAAATTCCCCTGAGATCCTAGCCCTGAAAGCTCAGCTGGTAACAATGAATGTGAATCATTTCTCAAGTTTCCAACAAATTCTAGCCTACTTGCTCCCAACACTTACGAAACCCTCCCGTGCGAGTCTAACCTGGAAGAATCAAACTTGGTTCGACCAAGAATGCAAACAGTGCAGAAGTAGGCTTAGATTTCTTCAGTCTGATATGAATTCAGACAGCACCCAGAGCAAAATCAGGAGTTAGCCCAATTCCGTTCTTACTACAAGAAGTTGCTCCAACATAAGAAATTGATCTTTGCGCAAGAACGCTGGACGGCATTGTCAGTGGCCATTAAAACCCGTGACGACAAGAAATTCTGGAATTTAATTAATGCAGGTTTAAGACCCCCCTCATTCATCGTTAATAACATCACAGCAGCCAGTTGGCACTCTCACTTTGCTCAGCTGTATTCCGCCCCAGATTCCGACGTAAACGCAGTTTCCACTCTTCCTGCATCTGCCTTGCCCAACTGGGAGCCAGTCTCCCCAGAGAGATGTGTACAACTAATTAGCATGCTATCAGGGGATAAATCCCCGGGGGAGGATATGATTCCACCCGAGGTATTCTTATCGAACCAGATGTGGTGGGCCCCTATTTTTGCATCTCTCTTTACCACTATTAACGCCACTCTTAAGATCCCGCCTAATTGGAAACAGAGCATAGTCATCCCAATACATAAAAAGGGGGACCCACAAGATCCGCGTAACTATCGACCTATCAGCCTGCTAGACATATCATACAAGGTTTACTCTAGATTTTTGCTAGAGAAATTAGTCGAGTGGGCAGAAGAAACAAAGCTATTCCACCCGGAACAGGCTGGCTTCCGTAAAGGTCACAGCACATCCGGCCAATGTCTTGTTCTATTTACCCTGATTGATAAATACCTAAACAGGTTCAACTCTAAACTACACGCGGCTTTTGTGGACCTGACCTCCGCTTTTGACTCCATTCCCAGAGATAGGCTATGGCAGAAGCTTAGTTCCACCAACATAGATAAGAGACTCCTCCTCCTTCTCATGGAAATTCATAATGACATATCGGCCAGAGTAAAATTCGGCCCTCTGGGAGCTCTTTCTGATTCTTTCTCTCTGAATAAAGGGGTCAAACAGGGCTGCCTCTTGGCCCCTTTTCTATTCAATTTCTATATCAACGACATCGTTACAACTATGCAGGCCCTAAATCAATCTGCCCCCTCTTTACAACAGCTTAAGATCCCCATATTACTCTATGCGGACGACATGGTGATACTGTCTTTAACCAAGCAGGGCTTAAACAACATGCTCAGAGGGCTCATGACATATTGTGATACCAATTCCCTCAAAATCAATTTCGCCAAAACCAAAATTCTTACTTTTGGCACGAAAACTCGGAAGTCATTCTGGAATTTTGAGGGCCACTCTATTGAATATTGCTCAGCATTCAAGTATTTGGGAATCACTTTTCAGCATGGGCTTAGCTGGTCAGCTCACCTAAATATGACCATCCTGGCTGCCCGTAGAACCATCAAAGCCTTGGAGAAATTCTTCTATGCAAAAGGCGGCCAGTTGGTTCCACCAATCAGAAAAGCATTTATCAGCAAAGTCCTCCCGATGTTACTGTATGGGGTTGAAATTTGGGGGTGGAATTTAAAAACACTACAACGACTGGAGATTCTACAAAACTCTTTTGCACGAAAGATACTGGGTCTCCCCAAGGGCTCGGTTGCTGCACAGTTAAGAACAGAACTGGGCCTCCCCTCTATTGTTGCGAGAGCCCACATTAGAATTATTAGTTTTTATTGCAAATTAATCAATGCCCCAGGTTCCCTACTAGCCAGGCAAGCCTTCTTAACTTGTTCTCACTCCAACAAATGGTCCAAGGCCATGGAGACTATTACTGTACGCTACTCCCTCCCAGATTTCGACACGTTGTCATCTTGGGACCAACATAAAATCCGGGCCTGGATTCTTATAAGAGATGAGGCCATGGACCGGGCACAGTCCACCTCAGCTCGCCTCTCCATGTGGCTCCCTAAAGTGAAAGTGGTAAGATCACTTGCCAACTACTTGATAGACCTGACGGAGCCCAATTTGAGAAGAGCGTTTACAATGGCCCGCTTTCATTCTATACCCACGGCCTTCCTGCAGGGGACCTACTCTAAGACCCCTATTACTCAGCGTCTATGTCCATGCACAATGAATGAAGTAGAGGACTTCATACATTTCTTTTTCTACTGCCCTATTTATGACCCAATAAGACCTAAGCTCCTCCTCTTGATCCCGTCCTCCATTTCATCTAAGGAAGACTGTTTGAAAGCACTTCTTGTGGACGCAAATCCCCAAATTTCACGTGGGGTGGCAATCTTCACAGTGCAGGCTCTGAAACTCAGGGCTACTCTGACAGGGTAGTGTGCCCTAGTCCTGGACCTGTTTAATTTTTTATTACCTTTTTAACTTAATGTGCTGAGCCTATTTTGGGGCCATTTTATGCTTTATTTATATCCGCATACTAGTTTTTTTGGCGCTGGCAATTAAATCTCTGTATTATTGTCTTAGGGTATTTTAAATGTCATTACGCCAGCAATATCGCTTTGAATTTTGCTTGGTTGCTTGTCTCCAATATTTTTGTATTGTCTTACTTTGCTATGGCTGTATGCTAATGCAATTAAATTTAAAAATTATACTGTTAGGGTCTGGATACCAATCACAATCCCTTGGCAATGTCTCAAGAACCCTTAAGATCCAATTTCACCAACTCCCAAGTAACACTGAGCCCTAGAGGAACCGTCTATACTGAGGTGAGGCACCTCTGGCCCTCCAGATGTGGTTGGACTCAAAGTACCACCTGCCCAAGGAAGGATGGCCCATGGCCAGGGAGGATGGGAGTCTTATCTGGGGGGACAAACTTTCCCCTTCTTCCCCCTCCTCTGAAAATGCGGAATGGGGGAGGTGGGGCACATTGACGCAAGGGGGACATTGACACCCCAACAATATTTCAATATCGAGAAATGATATTCGTGTCGCGAC